ATGAAAATAAAAAATTATTAAATGTATAAAAATATAAATATTAATCTGGTAATTAATGATTAAAAGCTTGTGCTACGATGCTAATGAGCTATGATTATGATTAATTAAGTAAAATTAATAATATGCGAATAAAAACTATATGCGAATAAAATCCATATTTTTAAATAAATCTAAGGGCGCTCTTTATAAATTGCGATAAACTTTTGTTAAGATAATTTCAATGCTTTCTCTATATTGCGCAACAAGTACATTGTTTGGAGTGTTACTTAAAATTTAAAAGAGGTTCGGTGAGTCATTTAACGAAATGTTTATAAGCTCAACGTTCACATACAAGAGTATGTCCTGAGAATGTTTGTTAAAACATAAAACTCGAAAATAATTATACCTGTTTCAAACTTTTGTTTAAAAAAAATAACACTACGTAATCATTGCGAAAATTATTAAATGTTGGTTAAAATATAAAATTCGATCATAATAAAATATATTTGAAAAATTTCACTAGGAATTTTTTAAAGATAATTTTGAATGTTTGTTTAGTTTTTGACGTAGAAGGGACACCGCTGGTCTCTTTTGTATATTTTTTTTCTGACGTTCTAATTGCAAGCAAAATATATTTTGGTATTTTTGAATACAAAAATCTGTCTGATGGTTACTAAAAAAATCTATTAGATTATTGGAATTATATTTGCACAAAAATTCAAAATCCAAAAAAGCAGTTAGTCTTTTTTCCCATTCATATTCAAATATTTATCAATAATTGATTGTGTGAATTAAAGAAATTTCAATGATGATTAACTGTTTCTTTTAGATCTAAATATCTGCAACTTTGAAAAATTGTGGTTTGGCAGATTTTACCTTTCATTCAGAAAATGACAGCTGTGTTTCGTGCTTTATTTCATAATCATAAATTATTAAAATGCTGAACAAAATATTTCACTTATTTTGACCTAAATGAATACAAAATAATGAAGAAAAAAAAGGAATAAAAAACATGTTTCATAAAAATTCTGCGTCCAAGGGTTAAAATACTAAATTCGATTTAAATATTCGCATTAAGAAATATTTAAAAAAAATACTAGCAATCTCATCATTGTTGAATGTTCATTAAACTCCATAATTAAGAAATATTTTTCAAAAAAATAACACCGTGTAATCGATTGGATAATTGATTTCAGTTAAAATAATAAACGAACGAAACCAACGGTAATTATTGGCCATTCACTTCCAGGAAAATTCAACCTTATTTATCAAGCGTATAATATAAATAAACAGTTTTCTTAAGCAGACGCTCGCGGCACTAAAAAAAATATAAATCAAAATACTCAAACAAAACTCTCTTCAAGATGAATAAAAAAGAAGAATTCAACAATAAGATAGCGGTTTTTCTTCCTTGAATGGGGAGAGGTTCTGCCTTGGTGAAAACGGGAGGTGTTATTGCAACTTCTCTATTTGCAATGATAAATTTTCAGCACACACAGGAAATGACCTCCACGCATCCAGTAAACGCTCCAGTGGTGGGGCAATCGTCTATTTTCTTTTATGTCTGGATTGGAAAAAAGAAAGAAAAAAAAGGTATGACCGTGATACACCTCCACAATTAGATCTATTTATCAGGCCAAATTGCTCGCTTCAGAAAGTAAACGATCACACGTACTGCATCAATTATACCATCGTTCTTCGATGACGATGATGAATGATGTTTGGAAAAAAATAAGCTTGCAGAGTTGATTTTTACGTACTTTAACTCAATTAACGAGCTCTTGTTCTCAGGGAATAGTATTTTTTTGAAAACTTTTTTTTAATAATGGCAACGAGTAGATTTTGATGTAGGCACTATATCTAACAACAATGCGTGAAAAGATAAGCTGCTAGTTAAGTTCATTTGTTGTTGAAGATGAAAATGTTTGGAAAGAAAAATAGGATAGCGACATGCCCCATTGAAAGATTCTTAGAAAAAACAACATTTTAGTCGTTACAACTTTTTTAATGGTAGTGTTTGTTGTTATAAAAGTAAATTGGAGAGTAGAATTTTATAATATGTATTTATCTGAAAGAAATAATAATAATAAATTATTTACAATTCATAAATTCCCTATTTTTCTCTCGTTGTACTCTGTTAAGTCAATTTGGTTAAGTTAACTCGTTGTTAAGTCAATTTGTAATAATTAAAAAAAAAAAAAAAAGAAAGAAAGAAAGAGAGAAATAAAGGAACGAAGAAAGAAACAGTAAGAATATATACTTAGACTAAACAAAATACGTAAAATTATTATCCTATTTGAATATAACCTGATTGATAAATTTATCCTCGTTATCTGTACCCTGTAAATTTCAATTCTCATTTTCCCTGTACATTTCAGCCAATGAGCTATATTTTGATTTCACTTGTATGTGCAAAATTTATCGGGGCAAATCATTTTATTAAATCAAATTAATTTATTTATTAAATCAATTATCCAGTTTGTGGCTTACGAAGACTTACGAGATTGAAGTAAATAAATTACTAGAAACCATTATATATAAGAACTATTTACAACTAATCAACAGTGGTAATATATTACAACTACTGCACTCACAACCACATAGTAAATTTTGTGTGTAAATACTTGAACACTGGATTATCTAACCCATAATAAATTAAATTCAACATTTTTTGTGGATGATTTGTTTAAACAATTGCCTTCAGTTTCTAATATAATTTCTAAAACTGTAAAATGGGACATATTAAAACATAATTCAATATCGATGACATATTACAATCGATATCAGTTGACTAAAATATAAATCGAAATTTAATAATGATCAGTATTGAATATGAGGAATATCGATACTTTGTTACGATAATATCGAAATGTATTAAAACTATTCTTTCCTATTTTTTGATTGCCTATAATCGATGCCTTCTTTCGATACTATATCACTATACGTAAGCATGAGATTAAAAATATGTTTATTTATTTTGAAAAGGGGAGAGAAGATGCCGAAAATTTCTCAAACGTGCACAAGTTGTATGTAATAAGACTACCCCAAAGCTTTTTTTTTTAGTTTTAATCAACAGTACAACCTTCCTGAAAACGTGGCTTAAGGATAATAATTGGAGAGGATTGGAGTAGACAGTAGACATGCTACTTGTTAGAAACAAGTTATCAAATCAAAATATCGTCTGCATCGATTAGAACACCGCGTAGTATTATTCTTTGAAAAAAAAATTTAAGCGGTTTTTTTTGTATCAAGTAATCTTTTGTAAATCATGTTGTGGCAACAGTATTATTGCGATAGAAATCAGCAACCTTGATCATGTATTCGGTTGTTGTTTCTGTTTTTTAATCGAATTTCCACGTTTCTTTACAATTCCACTTCCTGGCAAGCTCAGATGAACTTATCTCACAAGGATTATATTTTTAAAGTTGCAAATAGGATTGTGCTTTTGCTTCTTTTTTCTTCTTCTTAAGCTATCTTACGCAGTTCGCGTCTATTTAAGTTGAATCATATCCCTCTGCATCATAAAAGTTTATGAAAATAAAAAGTACTTTTTACGATAAAAATCCTTTGAAAATACGATCCGGGTTTTTTTAAAGCAACATTTTAATCTAAAAGATAAATAGCAATTTTCTTTTAATCAAAGATAAAATAATGAAGCACATGGGAATAAAATATTTCTAATATACATTTTGCCAATTCTGCATCAGTTTTTTATTTCGATAAAAATCTGCAAAATTTGATCATGAAATTTACTTGCAGTTTTCTGAGGATTTCTTCCGATTTACTGGGAAGCTTTCATGAACTTCTCGCATCGTATGGAGTGATAAAATGCAGAAAATTAGATTAAAACAATCGTAGCTTAAAAGTTTATTGTGCCAATTCTATACCAGGAAATTAACCTTTTACGGCGTCCTTTTTTTCTCGTCATGTTAAGTTATTTTTGGGATCGAGATTGATTTATAAGAAAAAAAAATCTTTTAGCTTATCACCAGAAATTAATTCATTAAAACTAATTTCTCTGTGGGGAAGCAGGTGGAATTTTTTAAAATTTGATCTACTGTAAGGAATCAGCCATAAACTTGAACTATGTGCTTATAAATATTCGAATTTCTAAATTCCCTGCTTAAAACTAGAAATGAACTCTGGGGAAAATGGTCAAATAAAGGAGCTCATCATGCACAAGAAAAAATGGCTCCTCAAAGTTGGTCTGTCTTTTCTTCACCTAACGCTAACCTTTACTGTTACCCATATAAAAATGAACAAAGTGGGGGGGGGGAGTATACTTCCTTTAACGTTATAAAGGGTTAACTTGCTAAAAATTGACATACTTTTATTTCCACGAACTTGAAGCAATTTTAAACGATAGTGAAATAGATATTATAATAGTTACATAAATATTTGATTATCGTCAACTATAAAACATTATAACATTAACTAACTTTTTTTAAAAAAAATGTGCTCCTTTATTAAAAGTACTGAACTAATTACACGAAGGTCTTTTCATGTCACAATGGCAAGTAATGAAAAAAAATTAAATAAAAAGGAATTAATAATTAGAATGAATTAATAATTCCGTGATCAAGTGTAGTTGATAATTTTTATTGTTTTAACAACCACTTAGATTTTTAAAAGAATTAAAGAAAAAAGCTAAAAGAATCTTAGAAATAAAGGTCTAGGAATAATATAGTGATAAGCTACACTTTTTCTAAACATGAGATTATTACTTGCGTTTCTGAAAAAGCATTTCTAAAAGAGCCGACAGCATCTGAAGAATAGAAAATCTCGCTTCTTAGCAAGTTTGAAACGTTGCTTATCATTATATTACTCCAATTTCATTACTGTTTCGTTAGAAACTTACTTTTTTTAAAAATTGACTAAAAACAAAGAGATTTAACAATAATTTTTCCTTTTTTTTTCAGAAATTATTAAAGACAACTGGAAATGAGGGTACTTATGTAATAAGTTTTTACAACTTTTCATTCTTAAAGAATAGAAATGACTAAAAAATAAGAATGCCTTACCTTCACTTAGATGTGCAGTTAAAATTATTAGAATTCCTATTATAATCGGCGTTAATTTTCCCATGTTTTTCAGTCTGACTAGATGGGATCGTACAATTTTCTCTAGTCTATAGTCACCCTGAAATGAAAAAAGAATTATAATTAAATCAAATTAGCTGCTAATCATTTTAAATCTATCATTGATGCTATTTAAAGAAAAGTTTCACTTATTTGAAAATTATGATCAAGATCTATAAATCAGTTTTCGCGTTTCTTCTAACTCTAAGAAGAAAAAAAATGTGTGGTCAAAACTACCAGAATATTGCAAAATTTACGGCGTTTTTTAGCTCTATGAGAACAACAAAAGCAGCGATCATTTTTACCGTAGAGCTTTAGTAATAACTTTTGGTAATAACAATAAAATATGGCTTTATTATCATGCTATTTGATAGTAATGAGGTAATATTAGGTAATTTTGCCAAAAGAGATGGTAATTTTAACATTGTTATTAAAATAAGATCACTCCAAAATGCCCAGTTTGATCTTTTTGATTCTTTTTTTATCTCTTTCACTTCTAATTTAATTAGTAAGGGCCTATTGACTTCATTTTTTGTCGTTTGTTCTTATGTCTATAAGAGCTATCAACTCTTAAAATCATAAACAATACACATTTGCAGAGATACAAATGACTGTACAGGGCTGCACTAGATAACTAACTTAAATGTTACTCAGCTGGTTGTCCTCACATCTTTAAATGGAAGCGTGGAGTTAGTGATTCGAATCTCACTGCAACCCTAGACGCAGCTATTTATTTACTTTTTTACATACATATGCGTGCTCCTTTCAAAAACCTTGTCAGGTCGAAGATAGCACAAGATGTGAGATGAAGCTTAGATGTAAAGGGATCGAATCTCATTATTACATTCGACGTATATTTTTGCTATCTTAAATTAGTGCTGTTTTTCTAATTAGTTATTTTGTATTCACAAAGAAATCCATTTACATGCTTGAATAAATAAATCGCATGATCGCATGATAAAACAGACATCATAGTTTAATATATTTGAAATAGGTACTTTATTTACGTCACACTAAAGCTGCACATTGGGCTATTGGCGACGGTCTGGGAAACATCCCCGAGGATGATTCGAGGACATGCCTTATTCCCAAATTTGATTCTCTGCAGAGGGGATGACACAGGGGACATTTTAAGTTACGAAAACGGGCACAAAAACGTACTTTCTCCGGCTAGAGATACATTTTCTTTTGAATATCAAAATATGTGAGGCAGTCGCAATTTAGAAAATAGGATCCCTATAGTTTAAGCAGGAAATCCTTCGAAAGTTAGAACCCCCTTTTTTACGAATTTCGCTAGATCTAGGAAAGTTTTTAAGCGAATCGAAAAAGTTGTGAACAAAATTATAAATTTTGTATATTCCAAGATCCATGGGTATTTGTTTATTCCATGTAAATAGTAGTGAAGAAATTTAGTATTTTTTATAATAATAACTAAAATAAAATTTAGTGTTTAATATTTTTAACTAATAGTCGAAAAAAATTTAATAGTAAAGGTACATACATTTTTTACATTTAGTTGAATTAAGTACTTTTTAACGTCAAAATACAAACTTCGAATAAAATCGATCAAATAGTTCTTGAAGATAGTTCTTTATTGATTATTATTTTCTATTTACAAACTATTTGGCCAATTTCATTCTAATTTAGTCATTTACAATTATGTAATTTATAATAGAGTAAAAATTTTTATATCTCAAATTTTTTTCAGTCATTAGAAGAAAAAAATTATAAATAATTACAAAAAAACATTATTTACAATTATAATAAGAATTATTATTTACCATCTTTAAGCAAAAGAGTTTTACAATTGTGTACAAATATTTTTTGGTTCGCTTAAAAACTTCCTGAGATACTGTAAAATATGCAAAAAGGGAAATCCGTGGGAAAAGGTTTGTTCTAGAGAAAGTACGTTTTTGTGTCTGGTAGCGTAAATATAGATTGCACTAATATTAGAGGAGGTCATCCTTTTGAACCATTAAGTCTCGATTATTAGAACAAAAGTTATTCAGTGCTATATCTTTTTCTAGTGCACTGTGCACAAAAAACTAGAAAAGTAATACCGATATGAATTTTTAAAGCCGGATAATTTAACCAACTAGTTCGTACAATTCATTTTTGTGTTAAGGAAATAAAAATGAAAGCATATTTACCTAAATTCTCGATAAAATTGTGTTGAAAAAAAAAAGAAAAAAAAACCATATATATGCATGTCTCTATACCTTTAATTATGACAAAAAGAAAAAATATTAAAATCATTCAAGCAAAACCTTATTTGAATTTTGCATTCCTCAAACACTCATTTAAAGTAATAAAATTTTCTTTGAAATAATATTAAAATTCCATTAAACTGAATGAATTTTAAATATCTATAACCAAAATGCTATTTGAAAAAAAGAAAAAAAAAACTAAATACATGCACGTCTTTTGAATTTAAATGTAAATGAACTTACTAGCATTAACAAGAACAAAACATTGTTTGTCCTTTATGCTGCCTAATTCTCCAATTAAAATTTGTCAATTGGAATAGCAAATCAAATTTAATTTCAATTAAGTCTGGTGAACTTAATATAAATGTTTAGAGAGGAGAAACAATGAAGCAGTTGTGTTTACCACGGAACATCTGTTTCTAAACTTTTGTCTCAACAGTAATTAAAAGAAATGAATTAAACCAAATCCAAACCAAATGTTATTATAAAAGTCAACACCACACACAACATTACACAACTGCATAGTCATTAGTTAAAGTCAACATAAGTCAAATTGAGTGTATAAATACACATTACGCAGTAATTATACACTCACTGGCCAATGAATGAGAGATTTTTTCGATTAAGTGATCGTTAGTGGGGAAAACCTGTTTATGCAGTGGGTATTACCAGATTAGAAAGCTATAGCATAGGAACGACAGATTTTTCATCATTTGAAAAAGAATATGTCATTTGTTTAGCTGGTGAAGACAGCAGAACTCGGACAAACAACCATGTCAAAGATTTTCTGGAGCTTGCAATGGAACCTAAAGTAATTGCCTAGAACAGCGCTTCCCAAACGGTGTCCCAAGGAAGCCCTAGGGTTCCCTGGAAAAGTTAAAAGGGTTCCAAGAGTTTGGCTTTTCTGAAAACAGTTTTTATTAACATTTTCGAAACCTGTAAATATACTTAGATCCAATCCATATACCAGTATATACTTAATATTTCGATTACCTTTACAAAACTATTTAAAAAAAGCCAATGCAAAAGAAATGGCAAGTTTTTTTCCTTTAAGAAAGCATAATTTTCTATTAATGTATTATATGAAGTATGAAAAAGACAGTCTTTATAAAAGTTGCTATAATGGTGTTAAACATCGCGTTTTGAAAACAAAAGTAACAAAACTTGTAAATAAAAGATATGCTTCCCTAATAACCATTTTCAATATTTATTACAGTTATTTTCAGTTTTAATTTCAATGAAAATCATAATTCGTCTTAATTTATTTTCAGCTTTTTTATATGTACACACTGAAAACAAATTCATAACTAGAGTAAATTCAGACGGTCGGACATAAAACATGATTTAAAATTATTAATGATAAAATTTCCCTACCTTTATCAAATATTTTAAAAATAGAGTAGTGTTTTAGTTTCTGATGCGTTCACAAGTGTCTTTATAAACTTTCTTTATGAAGTCGGGGTTAAAGATTGTTGGCCATTTAGGGTTTCGTAGCCGAAAAGAATTGTGAACAGCTGGTTTAGAAAACGTAACTGTGGTTCGAACACAATTAACGAAGACTGTGATCGGCGTCATCTCCAACGAATTGTTTTACAGAAAAGGGACTACTATTCTTTTGATGACAATTGACCGATTTCGGTTCAAGTGATGAGCAGAGATTTGCAAAGGATGGGGATGCATAGTTGGATGCTGGTGACGACACCTCACATGTCTGCCCAATATCCTAGAATTCGTTTGCAGGGATGTTTGGAAAAACGACAGTGGACATTTGAAGACTTTAAACTGGTTACTGTTTGTCGAAGATAGGTACTCTGCCAGACATTCGTCTGGAGCTGTGGCCGTGACTATGGTAACGAGGTATGATTATTTCAAGTAGGGTTGCGGGGCTGGTTTTGGTGAGAGAAAAGGAGACCTCTTCATCGAAGCTGCTCTCCCTAAAATGCCCTCTTCTTGTTTCCATAGCACCAGACTGCCGCAGACTTTGTGGCGGTCAGAGTACTTATCTTAGACAAACAGTGCGTGGTCGGATAGGATTCGCGGCACCTTGTTTTGCTTTAATGATGGCTCTTAATCAAATTCTACGATAACCCATAAAGACAAGCATCAATCTTGTCTTGCTCACACTGTGCTAAGATGTGGTGGGAGCATCATGATGTGGGCACGTTCTGCTGGTATTAAAATCATGTCCTGGTGTTTCTCGAGGGTAAACAAAACATTATGTAATACATAGAAATATTGGGAGATCAAAAAGCATTCTGATACTCTACAGTTTTTGCTTGGGGGGGGTGAAGGATGCGTCATGGATGATAATACCATTACACATAAAATCAGAAGCATTCAAAATGGGTTCAATGAATATCAGTTCTGGCTTCCAACAGATTAGTGTAAGATATTGATGATGATGTAAAATGATAACGTTCTTGATCTTGTAAGATCTTGATGATGATGTAAGACCCTGATCATTGAAAGTAAACAAAACCCTACACAATTTATGGACATATTGGCAGATCGAATACATCCTGCTAAGTTACATTTTTGCTCCGAAGATGAAGGATGCGTCATTGATGATGATGTCATTGCTCATCGTGCCAGAAGCGTTCAATATGGGTTCATTGAACATCAATATAACTTCTAACACCTTCCTTGACTACCACAATACCCGAATCTTAACTGAATAAAAAAAAAACTTTGGACATGTTGGAAAGTTATGTTCGACAACAATTTTCTCTTCTATCCAATATGCAGGATTTGAGAGTCTGTCTAGTCAGTGCATGGTATTTTCTGGCCACTCCCGAACACCTGAAATATCATTATTTCCATGAACACGGACAGTTATGTGTGTAAAAGAGGCCCA